ACAACAATTTTGATTTTGGTGGTGGACATTTGCAATTTTGATTTTGGTGGACTCTTCAGTATTGATGATTGTGACCATTGTAATTTCCAATAGTAGGAAAAAATATTTTCGTGCTTATTATACTTCTATGACCTGTATTTTCATGAAAAAACTGACATTGGATTGTTCTTCGCCAATCTTTATGTTCCTGAGGATTTTTAGAGCTCTTGGAATTCTTCCATAACACAAACTGTTCAGATTACAAAATTTACTGAAATGTTGGTCTATGTATTTCCTTAATGAAAGTACGAAAGTGAACGTTTCTTTTGTTAGTCTAGCCATGCAAGTATTGACAGGGCTATCTGAACCTTGTTTTGATGCAAGATATACTCAAATTTGCTGCTATTTACATTATTGAATTTCCTCAACAAGGAGAGAGTTGCTTTTATTAGTTGAGCCGTAAAAAATATGGACAGGAATAGCTGAACCTTGTTTTTATATGAATGCTGACTCTCCAAGACAGTAAATTGGAAATGAGAAATAAGATCATGCTATGGTGACTTGAACTGTTTAAGAATTGAGTACTTATGTTTCTTTGAGAACTTCGCCAAATGCCTAGAAGTTCCAATAGAGTTTATTGAAATCGTTTGCATCTTTGATACTGGTTTATGAAGAAGAAAGATACGACCCTTCAGTTTTTCTTTCCCCTCGGTAGATCCAAATTCTGACCTTTCTATTGGCAATTTGTTGAAGACTGGAGCATGGTACTCCTTTTTAACATAATTATCCGAATTTAGCTACTCTAAAAGTAATGTTTTCTGTTATAAAATCTTATCCTAAAAATGTCTCTGCTGTTTGTCACTTCATGTTATCGGGTAACAGAAGTTGGAACACACTTATTCATCATTATTTATTATCAGGTACCAGAAGTTGCAGACGGGCGAGGTAAGTGCAGATGGAATGGGAGGTCCAACAACAGATAATTCACCATCAAAGTATGTCATTCTCGATGAGATGGACCAGGAAGAAGATATCCCGTAAAAGCTCAGCATTTGCGTAATTTGAATCTATAAACTTGAGTAAGCCTCCTATCAATTGCTCAACCCGTTATTGTCATTCATAAAGGCATTCTGTTATTTTATTTTGTTATAAAATACTTGCATTATGATTTTTTTTTGTTTTATGAGCATGTTTTTCTATTATTTAAGCAAAGTAAATTAGAATATAGAACATTCTCAATTCTTGAATTAGTGGTAGAAGATTTTTGCTGAGTAGTGATATTTTATTTATGAAGCTTAATTCTTGTATATACTTTTGAGACGAGTGCTTCTTGTTTATCAGTGATCGAATTTACATTCTTGATCCCTTCTTGAAATGTAGCACTCATGTTTTTATAGTTTTCTATCAGGTTGATGATGCAAGAAGGCATGTTTTCGTCAGGAAATTGGAGTTGGCAAATTTGTTGACTTCAATTTTTTGCGACAATTTTTTAGCCCGATGAAAACAAATTTTTCTATGTTCAGTTGAGATTGTATATTCATATTCTGCATAAGGTTTGTTCCTCTTGTATCTAAATTTTGTCATTATCTTCAGATTTTTAATAACATTTTCAGATTGAGTGAATATTTTGTTACAAATTTAAATATTTTTCTGGTTTAGTTGCAATACACCACAGTTAGGTGGCAAACGTTTCAATTCTTCGTATATGTCAAAGAAATCTTTCTTAAGGCGAAGAAAATGTCAGTTTTTTCATAACTCGTGATGTAAATCAGATGTTAATCTTGGATTCTTGTGATTTCGGAGGTTTCAGCTACAGGAGAACCATAAATAGAGAGTTTTGCCCCCTTTCTGCTCGACTCTGTGTAACATGAGATTTTCACCTCATTTGAATTCATTGGATCCTTTTCTGTGTTCGAAATCAACCTCTCTGTGATTTTGCTATCGCGAATTGCATCAGATGATGTATCCTTTCCATCTTTGCTATCTTCTTGGTCGGAATAAGACTCCTGATATGAATTTACACGCCATTTTATTCTCTTGATGGATTGATTTGTTCAGATTTAGAACTGTTATGGGCTTTATTGTATTATGAGAAGCTCTTCTTTTGACAAACTCTTGCATGCCAAAATCATTTCTGGTGGAGATAAATTATGCTAAGGAAACGACGACGTAACTCACCTTGGAGTTTCAGAGCGTATAAATCTCTTTCTAAGAATCCCTTGTCTCGAGCAAATATTTGCACCAGGCATAGTGACACTAAAGTAGCCCTCAAAATACTCATGGAAGCTCGAATCTTGAATGGCTTTAAATAAAAGCCGAACTTGCACATTACATTACCTGATCGAAATGTAACTGAAACTTGTGTATCCCAGGAAATGGATTAAAAGAGAGCTTGAATACAATGTGAAGGAAACAAATATGGTGTTGGGGGTTCGTAGCAACCGTGATGGAAT